ATATATATATACATAAATTACAGTTACTCACTCCCATCAAGGTCATATACAGTAGAAGTAAAATATGAGATACTAAGCTTTTTCAAGAAGAAATGCAGTTAAAATTTACACAAAGCAAAGGAAAATAATCCTCCAACTAATTACTTAGCAACTTGATATAAATAACTTTGGGGAAATTGAAGAATGAATACAACATACTTAAACGAAAGTAGGCAAAATTATACAATTAGTCTTACCTTCCACAAACTGTTGCTTTTCATCATAATAAGGTTGTTCAGAGTAGCTCACTTAAAAAAAAATATTTAAAAAAACAACCATTGTCACAAATATGAAAATGAAAGGCAAGAAAAATTAATAAACAATAAATACTTGAACTGTATATTAACACATTTTAAAAATATCTACAAGAACAGCAAGTGAAATAAAAAAAAGAACTTGAAAATATAGGCCTATTAGCCTCGGCATCAAAACTATAATATTTCAAGAAAATATATATGGGGTAGGGTGGAGTAGGGGTTCAGGTTTTCTTACTATTTTGCCTTTCATGACACGAATAAGAATCATGTGTAGGCCTACTGCTCTAAATTGAGTAGCTTAAACACAAATGAGTATGTGTCATAATAAGGTTGGACTTCATATTGTAATTAACTTTTATATTAATAATGAAACAAGACATCTGCAGACAAATCATTAACTTTTTCCCCGTACTTCCATAAATAAAAAGTAGAAGGATGGGCCACAAAGGCCCTAATGTCAAATTATAGAAAAGGGAGAGAGAGCTACAATCACCTTGTTCTCCTTTCTCATGATATGAATGGCAGCCAATAACATCATCTATAAATCAAAAGAAATAAAAGTTTAAAACAAGGACACAGCTTTTAAAGTCTATGAGAATACAGACTTCGGATTTCATCATTACATAGTAATTTTTTAAAAGACACCAATCTTCCTTTATGACACTTTACTATGCAACAAGAACAGGGGATCTTATCATGAAACAGTGTAAAAGTTTAAAAAATCAGACAGACCCCCAAGGAACAAAAATAACAGACCATAATAAGCAGTCTACAGGTAGCCTATTGAGTAATTAAATTCAAACTTCATAGCGTAATGAACACCTAAACCTTTATTTTTACAACTTTTTTCTTATTGTCTACACAAATAGTGTGATGAAACTAAAAGATAAATCGACTTTCAACATTTTAGACTTAATATGATATATAAATGAAATAAGAATATAAAGATATAACAACTTAACGCATAAATTTTTGTTTCTCTTTTACTAATAACATTGACAAGGCTGCATTAAAAAGATATATTTTAAACCTCTACAGATTATAAACAAATACTGATCCTTTTAGAACGAAAAGTTTTAGTCCAGCTAATACATTGAATAGTAGCCAGAATTGGTCTCATTGGCCATTGCAAAAGCAATAAGTCATATCAAAATCTATATTTCTCCCTTTAAGAAACTCTTCTGCAGATGCATTGGTCATCGCCAGACATTGACAAACGGACTTACTAACTAATAATATCGAACAGTCAAAATGGTACAGAAACACGTTCATACGTAATATTCACATACAAACAAAACCCTAAAAAGTGAATCACTGAACCCATTAAATTATTGATGATATACAGTTTACGATTTTCATCTTCATTCTTTTAAAAATCACTGTTCATGGAATAGTGTCAAAAGAAACAAATTCAATAGAATTTGTATAAAATCATACCTGGAATTGCATACTGGTTTTTCAAAGACCACAAACAAAATTCAGTCATGCATGACGCCATTTTGGTTATCCGTGACCCTGAAAGCAATGTACCATATGTGGGGTGTAAAATTTCATCCAAAATTTTACCTTTCTCCACAACAAAATATCAAACAAAAAAAACCCCTACATTTTAGGAAACAAACACTTAAGAACTAATAATTCCTAATTTTTTCCCCTTCAAGATAGAACACTAAATTTGAATATATATATTATTGTATATATATATGCAGCCCCCACCGCCACGAATACCAGCCATTTCGTCAAATGGTCATTTCGTCAGACCGGTGCAGTAAAGACGTCACAGTCATCTCGTCACAGGGTCATTTCATCACACCCCAAATCCACAAGGATTTCATCCCACACTTGCAAACATCAAATGCGAATTGTCATACATAGTGGAGACGTGTGGAAGGACGGGGAGGGGTAAGGGGAAGAGCAAGTCATTGTGCCCACCTGATCAGCAACACCATTCATGACTGGGTGAGTTTTGTTGAGTTGTTTTTATTTTTAATGAAAGATTTCCCCACAGTTGTTTCTTCCCTAGTTACTAACTTGTTAAGTTTTTTTAACTTAAGCCCTGGAAGCACGAAGGCCCCATTTTATAGGGCGTGAGCCAGGCTACCTGGGAAGCGTGCAGGCCCAATATATAGGGCATAGGCTCTAACCCTTTTCAATGGAAAATTTCAGCTTTCCTAATATGGAAAATGCATTGGGGCGGGTGGCCTCTGAAACACTGCCCTTCTTGGGCCATAAAAATGTTCAAGAGATAAGGGAAGACATTTCGTGACACGTAATTGGGGTGTGACGAGAAGACCCTGTGACGAAATAACCGGTTACTACCACCCCCACGTACCCCTTTTATAAATCAAAGAGTCTAAAGGCCTCTGCACAAAAAACAAAAGCTTTGAAATCTATTAATTGGTAGACAAAAAAATCACTGAAGTGCTAATAGAATTTATCAATCACAAGCCTATTTCAAAGCCTTACTTTGAAAAGAATCCTTATATTGTGAAACTCAAGCCATAGACTGTAATTTAGTTTAATCACAACTTGTAAAAAAGTGTTGTTACAAGACCATTTTCACTTTTCAGTGCAAAATTTTGCTTTTTTAAAGTTGAAAACTGTTTTTAAATTAAAACCCTTTCAAATCCTAGTTTAAACTTTGTGTTATTAAAATTTTAACTCACATTCAGTCCATTATAACTGAGCGTTTTTTCATTATTGGGGGACAAGAGAAGTAGTCTGAATCACCTGAGAAGGTTATAATAAAATACGATCAAATTATTAAGCACTTGACTTAGCCCAAACTCATAAACTTTAGAAAAGGGTGGTGAGAATTTTGACCTTTAGAAGTCAGCACATCTGCTGACTGAATGCTGCATTATACTGTTAATATGATTCTTGTACCACCAGTTTTTATCACACAATACACACTGTTACCAGCACTGCACTTGGGTCCCTGTGTTATCAATCATTCTTCTTTACTAAAAATTTTGAAGGCAGTACGCCTACATGCTTGTAGTTTGAAACCTTTTTTTAAGCGGAAAATGCTATCAAACATATAATTATTTCTTATTAAACTTGCTTGTTGCAAAAAAGCAGTGAATTGAATAATAGGCTTCTGACAACTTGTAGGTTAAGTGTGTTATAGGGGGTGCCCACTAGCGCGATCGGGTTGGGTCCGGTCGGGATGGGTCGGGTTTTGGTTTCAGTGCACACTACAAAGATTACTCCGCTGCGATTGTACCCAGCTGGATCCTGCTCGCCAAATCTGAGAGTGGCGATTCGCGATTCAGCCGGCTTCAAAGAATTGCGAGTACGCGAGCGCTTGTGGAACTGTGGCGGAACACTGACTGAAACGGAACAGTGTCATATCAACGCCACTTGGCAAGTGCGAGTCCCACTCTTGTTGTCCCCGCCATCCTCTCCGTCCCCCCCCCTCCCCCACCCTTCGTTGAACTGCTCTATCTACTGCATGACCTCAATTAGCGACCCCTATAAATTCCCCCCCCTCCCCACCCCATGATTCGCTAAAACAATGGCTTCATAAAATTCCTTTTATCTATTGGTTGGACCCCGTTCATTTTGTTTTAATAGGGGGGTTAGACTATACAATCTTTTGTAAAATAAGTTGAGCCATACTAAGTGTTCCGTTCCGTTCTTGTGCTCACGACTCGACTCAACAGTAGGTTACAAAAACATAGGCCTAAGCTGCAAGGTGTTGACAACGACAGGGGAGTGAATCGGGAATCGGAAGGCGATACTGTTCCGCGTTCTGCTGAGGTGAATTGTGAATCGTGTTCCGCAGGCAAGAGAGGCGATTCAGTTCCGTTCTCGCGTGCTCTAGTACCCAATGACCTGGAAAGTAAAGTAGGACCAGTATTTTGCACACAAATGTCTGACATTGATATCGCAGGGTCAACATGGACACATGACTCCTAGGTTACAAAGCCTTGTAGTGATTGGCTGCAATCGTTTTGTGCCACGATGGCCGTGGCCCTCAATTTGGCTAGCCTTGACTACCAAATTGACGCGACCCGATTGCGCTATAGGGCCCCCCTATTAGAGAGCTAAAATAATATTTTTGTACAAAAATACAACACAACAGATAACTTGACCTAAGATTTACTCTAAAGATAGATTTCATGGTTGTTAAGTAAGTCTTGTATGATAAGTAAAAGGGAATGTATACAGACCCGGTAACCAGGAACAAAGCCACGAAGTATACAGACCCGGTAGGAGAAATCTTTGTTGATTTCGGAAAGTTTCAGCACCCTTTTGGCTCAGGGTAGACCTAAGTTCTTCTAGATCTATGGCCTAGATCTAGATCTAGACAGACAGACATAAATCATAGATTTAATTTCGAGGCCTCGACTAGATCTAAACGAAGATTGCGGATGTCTTTTCGATGAAAGATAATTTTTTCCTCCGTTTTGGAGTTAAAAGAATCAATATTTATATAAGACAATTTGAAGAAAAGAACAATGTCATATTTCAATCGAGCAGTCACCCTCTCTATTTCTCTGTCTCTCTCCATTTCTCTATCCTCTTTTTCTGCCTCTCTCTCTCTCTCTCCTCTGTGTATCACTTGCCTTCTGTTTCTCTTTGTTTGTCTCTGTCTTTCTTTCTCCCCCACCTACTTTCCCACTCTATCTTTCTCTCCTTCCCTCTTGTCAACTGAGGCATGAGTGATATTTGCTAGCACTTCCCCCTGTTCTCTCCCCCTCCTCTCTCTCTCTAACACACACACACACACAATACACACACACACATATTCTACCGGGTCTGAATGCTGAAACTTTCCTAAATCACAAAAGATTTCCCCTACCAGGTCTGTATACATCGTGACTTTGTTCTCGGTTACCGGGTCTGTGTATACACTTCGTAAGTAAAATCAACAATTTAGAGGAGACTTGAGCATTTGAAGTTCTATAAAATAATTTGAAGTTTAACGTTTCGCCATTGCCTTGAATCATGGCCTTCATGGGATTCGACTTTCTAGATCTAGAATCTACATCTAGTTCTAAAATCTAGATCTAGATCCAAGATCTACTTCTTCAGGAACGTGCGCACAAATTTTTTCCATCTGAATCCAAGACGTATCAACAGTTAAAGTTAAAGCATCAATACCGAGGCTCTTTGGAAAATGCCTTCCCGTTTGTTTACATAAGAAACAGAAGTGATTGCTAAGGACAAAAGAGGGCGCTTTTTCAGTAGTTCCCACCCCACAATCACAATTGCTATTCGCTGGTTTTGGCCCCAACAGTATGGGGGGCTTCAGGGGGACCTAATAAAAATATGATGTTTTGCAGTTGTTCGGTTTGATATCTTAGCTCGCCGCGCATCAAACGTAGTATAGATCTAAATTTAGATCTAGATCTATCAAGATGTAGATTTCTAGATCTAGATCTAGATCTAAATCTAGATCTAGGCTCAAATAAGGGGGGTGGGAACTACCAAAAAAGCACCCAAAAGTTTCTGCCTTTTTTTATGTATTAAAAATTTATTTTGGCCCCATTGAACTTTGGTGAACCCATCGTGTTTACGGGTGCATATACCCTCGTCTTGCAAGGGCCGGGTTTATGTCGCTCGGTAAGCCTATCCTATATTATTTCGGCACCTCGCCTTCGACAAATCGTTCTGGTCCCACGTCAGTCGGTGCTTTTTCGGTAGTTCCTACCCCCCTTATTTGAGCATACATCTTGATCTAGATAGCGGCAAGCTAAGATATCAAACCTAATAACTGCACCCAAGTGTATACAGACCCGGTAACCGGGAACAAAGTCACGAAGTATACAGACCCGGTAAGGGAACTCTTATGTGATTTTGGGAAGTTTCAGCGCCCAGAACCAGTAGTGTGTGTGTGTGTGTGTGTGTGTGTGTGTGTGTGTGTGTGTGTGTGTGTGTGTGTGTGTGTGTGTGAGTGTGTGTGTGTGTGTGTGTGTGTGTGTGTGAGAGAGAGAGAGTGAGTGAGAGAGAGAGAGAGAGAGAGAGAGAGAGAGAGAGAGAGAGAGAGAGAGAGAGCAGGGGGAAGTGCTAGCAAAATGTATGCCCCAGTTGGCAGGAGGTAGCAAAATGTATGCCCCAGTTGGAAATAGGTGGGGAGAAAGATAGAGTGGGAAATAGGTGGGGAGAAAGAAAGACAGAGACAAACAAAGAAAAAGAGAATGCGAGTGATACACAGCGACAGAGGAGAGAGAGAGAGAGAGAGAGAGAGAGGGAGAGGGAGAGGGAGAGAGAGAGAGAGAGAGAGAGAGAGAGAGAGAGAGAGAGAGAGAGAGAGAGAGAGAGAGAGAGAGAGAGAAATAGAGAGGGTGACTGCTCGATTGAAATTATGACATTGTTCTTTTTTTCAAATTGTGATTCCTCCAACTCCAAAACGGAGGAAAAACGATCGTTCATCGAAAATACATCCGCAATCTTCATTTAGATTTAGATCTAGATCTAGGCTAGCCTCGAAACTAGATCAATGATTTATCTGTCTGTCTAGATCTAGACCTAGGCCATAGATCTAGAAGAGCCTAGTTCTACCCTGAGCCAAGAAGGCGCTGAAACTTTCCGAAATCACGAAAGAGTTACTTACCCTACCTGGTCTGTATACTTTGTCTTTGTGACTTTGTTCCCGGTTACCGGGTCTGTATACACTCCCTAACTGCAAAACATTAAATTGTGGTAAAATTCAGGGGGGCATACCCCCCTGAACCCCCCCACCATATTCTTATTGGGTCAGGGGGGCAAGCCCCCCTGAAACCCCCCTACTCTTGGGGCCAAAACCGGTGAATAACAAATTGTGGGGTGGGAACTACCGAAAAAGCGCCCGTCAGTCTGGCCCCTGGCAAAATCTTCACGTTTACATGGCAAATTATCAATTGGAACGGGAAGGCAATTTCCAAAGAGCGCCTCAATACCCACATAAATGTCGATTTGAGACGCTTTCAACGCAGCCAAAGTCAGCATAAAAACTATTTTCAATCACGATTTGTTGAGGCAGAGTAAGAAACCAAACCTGTCCGCCATATTGTTTACACTTCATGAAAGTAAACAGTAGTAGACAGCAGTAAAAAAGAACACATTGAAATTTGAACGTGATGTGTTCCATTCGCCGTTATTCAAGAAAGTCAGTATTGACTCATTATTGTGTAATCTATGAATATTATAATTTAGCAAAGGACAATAACTTACAAACTGCTATAGCCTAACTATAAATAGAAGTTGTAACGTCTTCAACCACGTACTGGCAACGAAGATAATATGCTATTTGGAGTATACACATAGAAATAGGTTTAGGTATAATTATATGTACTTTGTGCAGTTTCTGATCGGCCTGATCACTGGTCAGCTAACATAGTCTGATAAATCAGAGACTGAAGACTGTGAGAAGAAGAAAAAAATATAATTTCCTTTATTCAAATCTTTAATGGAGAGAGACCTACCACATGGCAAATATAGAAATATAATACAAGTGTCAAAATATAACCCAAAAAAAGCCTTCTTAGGCGAAAGCAGATGACTCGAACTGAGGTGATCTTCGATCTGCATTATTTGAGCAGAAGTTCAAGTCAAGTGTTACTTTTTCCTGCTAACATCCTATGAGCGACCAGCCTATAATCGCTACAGCTCAGGCACCGATAATAAGTTATAGGACTACAATTGGCTTCAGGGAAACCATAAGGTGCGCGCATAAGAAAAATAAATTTCTTGATTCTTTTCTACATTTCTCCAGTCAGGCCTTGGCATCAAGCGATGCGGCTTACCTCAAAGACCACCGTCACTTGGAGTGAGAATACCCCCGCCCCCCAACAACCTCGCCATGGGGGCATGGGGGCTCGCAGTGGCTAAATAAGTGGGTAGTCTATATATATTAGTGAGTTCAGACTCAAAAGTGCTGTCAAGCTCAGTGTCGCGGGGACGTGTCCGTGATCAAGTACACAACAACACTTGGTCAAAAAACAGGATGCTACAATGGCGGGCGACCATCAATGGCATGTTTGTGAAATATTAATAAATATTGATCTATATACAATGTATTATTTACTTCTAGTTATGTATTTACTTAGGCTTACGTATGTGTGTTTGTCATTGTAACCTAAATTTCCCAACGAGTACCTATAAATTATGGTTTCATGTAATTTGTTTCTGTGTATTTTATTGCTCCTCCACTGGTCCCCTAGGAAATTGCGGTCTTGTGGCCGCAGTTTCGGCTGCCCAGGGTCCCCACCAAATCCTGGATTTTTTTTCCAAGACCCCAAATTTTTTTCAAGACCCCAATTCAAGGGAAAAATTAGGCCGCTGTGCGTCAAGAAAGATCCCACAAAAAGCCCATCTTATATCAATGATAAAAATAAAAATGTCTTTAAATGAATGCAAATGTACATTTTGTAATATTGTCTTCAAACAATAGAGGATTATAATGCTGGGTGACTGCCAACCCAGCTTCTTAATTTTCCAAGGGAGGGGCCTCAACCATTTTCCAGGGGCATTATTACATAACAATGACAGCACGTGCTCCATTTATCTAATATATATGTATGTTTGTGAATACACACACACACACACACACACACACACACACACACACACACACACGCGCGCGCGCGCGCGCGCACACACACACACACACATGTAGGTACACTATATCCTGTCAACAACATTTCAGTGTGGCACTGGGATCTTGTGTGACTTTGGTATTTCAGTCTGTTCTTGTTTATTTATATTTTCCCCTCATCTTATTAGCCTACATAAACTAGATTCTATAGGCCCTATTAAAAAATGAATCATGTGGTGAGCCTGAGAAAAGACCTAGAACTAGAATATCGACTGTCAATAACCAGCCTGGGTGTCGTGATTCATATAATAAACGTGAAGACGAAAACTATTGCTCAAACTCAAAAGTAGAGTAATTAGTGTAATAATTTGAATGGCTCAAGTAGACCTATTCAGTGCGAATGGGGCTTGCTTTTCGTGATACAAAATACATAACATATCACAGTGATCCCTTTTGTTGTTGTTTACATTCTCTCACATGTCTGGGGCGTCTCCCACAACGCAGAAGCAGGAGATTTGAAACGACTTGTTAAGCTAATGTTTGCTTTTTTTTGCTTTTCCAAGGGGCAAAGTGACGCTGAGTGTGTGCACGGGCTCTGTGCACCCACAGTGTACGTGTTGTGTTGACATTGAGTGGCGGGGACGGATTATTTTTTCTCCCTTAACCATGTAATACAAGAGGGAGGGATTGGGTTTAAGTAATCCGGAGGGCACACACATTTTGAAAAAGCAGAATCAAAGTGCTACGATCGTATTATTCGTAAAACAGAGAACAATCGTGACAATTCCGCTAAATTCGTAGACCTAAAGGTGGGCAGTCCTGCATAAATTAAGATGAACAGTGTGAAAAGGTGAGATGTGTTTTCAAAGTATTTAGGGCTGTCATTCAATTCATTTATCATTCAGTATTGAATGTGAATTTGAGTACAGCTGCAGGGTGACTGCCAAACTGACTTCAAAACCCACAGCCCGTACCAATAAAAACGATATATTAATTAAAACATTATTTTCTGACAAAAGCCTACCTTTCTCAGGGCACCGGGGCTGCCTACCTCAAAGTTCCAATTTCAGGTAAATTCAGGGTCAGTTTCGGGTATTTTGGCCCAAAATGAGGTAGTACATAGACAAAGAAGAAAAAAAAGAGATGATTTTTGCACCGGTAGGCTACAATATTTATTATAGTATCCATCGAACGGGGCTTGCTTTTCGTGATATTGGGAAGTTATATTTTGAAAACTGTTTTGTTTGTTTGTTTGTTTGTTTTGAGGGGGAGGGGGATTCGGTGCTCACAACTGCATAAGGTCATATGAGCGCGAGGGACACATTAAACATTTTCAGTGGGTAGGAAATTTTAAATTTTGCCCGTGTGGCGGCCGAAACCCACTCTTATCGATTTTAAACCACCAAGGGATCTTTAACGTCTGCAACTTGCACGCTGGACCTCCGAGATTGTTTGCCCTTATTAGTCCGAGAGCCGGGTCTATATAAAGTACTAGAACCTTGTTTTTCATCATAAAGTTTTTTTCTTTGGTGATTCTGCTTCCTCGGGGTCTCTAGACTTCATATCATTCGGGGGCCAACTTATATCTTATGGGCATAATTTTTTTCTGCTGGTTGAAATACACCAACCCGTATCATGTAAGAATGATGAAGGAGCGACTAGGGCTGGGCAATGAGTCGCTTTACCAAAATACGGATAATATGTTAGTACACCTCTTCGGCAAATAATATGTTATGAACCGCTTCGGCAAAATCTCTTAGATAAACAGGTAAGCATTACTTCATCAACAAATGGGTACACTCACTTCGGCAAACGGGTCAGGAAAGAGAGTTTAGAGTCTGAATTCAGATAATATTTCTTTGAGAATTATCCGGTTATCCGGATAGTTTATCCGGATTTTACCCACCTCAATACCATGTACTAGGCCAGGGCAAGATCGACGACAAAAAGACTCGAGGCCTCGATCCCAAAACTGAAAAAAGATCGAGGAATCGAGTCCGATTTTCGATTTTGGAAGCTGCTTCAAGTTGGCTGTTTAGAGGCCATGACTTGAACACT